TACGAGTCGCCCGCGGCGCCGATCAAAGACAGGGCCCTCAGCGCGCAGCTCACAGTGAAAGTCAGGTCGAAGAAAGCCACTCGGATTCGGTTTTCCAGGGGCCGATTCGATACGACCGCAGGCCCGAGATAGATTTCGGGCAGGTCTTCGTCGAATTTAAAAGGAGTACCGTTAAGGAAAATTTCCATCTCGTTCCCATTCGGAGACAACTGAATTTGTATCGTCGGGCCGTCGGTGCACTTGAAAACGATTGCCGAAATCACGGTTGCCTTCGTGCTTTCATGTCGTTCCAGTCGCTGCAAAGGGACCGACCTGACTTGAGCGGAACATCGGTCGGTCTTCACGAGCCAGAACTCCCCATATCCGTTAAAGGTGTGCTCAAATTCGTCGAAGGTGGTGAAATGAGGATCCCCATTCCCTCGACTCGATCTGGGCGGGATGTACCTGTTTCCGGAGTCCGACGGGCGTTGCTTGTAGTATTTCTGACACGACTCAGTCATTTCAGAACCTGACGTACGACAACACAAAACCCATGGGGCGACATCGTAGAAGATATGCTTCCAGAAGTTTCCTTTGGGACTATATCTGTCGGCCGTCCCACCTCCAGGTCCCCCGACAAGGATGTCGCCTCCTTTGTAGCAGCACTGCTGACCGCCTCCGCTGGGTGAAGGAATGGCGCTTCGATAGCACGTTTCCGCTCCGGGATGGAAGTACGAGAGCATGTCGTCGCTGAGAGAGAAGCGTACGTCTACTTTCGCTTGTTTAAGTTTCGGTGTGCACGGTGGCAAATCTTTCGGTGGTCCGTCGTCGTTATTAGCCCAAACTTGGCACGCCTTCTTCATGAGGAAACGGCCTACTTCTTTTATTACCTTCCGCACGGCAGCCATTATGATGCGAATAACGACCGCAACAGGAGGACGGCGTACGCGATTCTTCGTCGCTCGTGTCTCCCGCACCGAGAACGATCGCTCCGGTTCGGGTCTCGTCTGAAGAGAGAACGTGAAGCTGGGCATTGAAATCGGGCTCGTATGTTCCGTTAAATGAGACATATGGAACGTAAATGTTCCCGTGTTCGAAATCCTATCGTTGAGCAAGTTCTGTGGAAGCCATTCCACTCGCTCGGGATCCAGAATATGCAGGTATAAAGCCACGTTGTCTTGCGAGGGAAAGTCGCCGGGATTCCAACTCAAACGGAGTAAGTCTGGAGAACCTTCGACGGCACTCACGTTCAGAACGGTTTTGGGTTCCTGGGTGATGAAAAGAAGAGCCGAAAACACCGTGACGTTCTCGCCGACTCGGGACATCACCTCGACGTCGATACGCCCGAGTCGATAGAAAAACGGTGTCATGCACGCCACTGCATCCGTGGCGACGATTTCGCCACTCGCGACAAGGTCGCCTTTCCGCAAATCTTTGAAAGTGCACGTAATGTTCGCAGTCTCCTCGAAGCAAGGTCCCTCGAACAGCACCACTTGGTGACCGTAGACAGATACGTGCGCCGGGTCGGTGACCAGAGTGCGATTCGTGAACCGTGAGGTGTCGCAGAATGGATTCACCATCGATGCGAAATACGAATTTGCCGGGGTGATCGTAGTTGGACATGGATGGGACGTTCCCTATCTGTGGGGTGCATGACTCTTTCAGCATGTAGAGTAAATGTGTTCCTGGTAGGCGTCTCCGGCATCGAACCCGATTTTTGCGCTTCTGTCGGACGCTGAGCCGCGCGTCCACTAGATGTCGTTATAATAAAAAATGGCAAAGGAGTACCGAGTGTCTGATGCTAGCACAGCTTGAAATGTATTGTTCAGAGAGGCATCGATCCCAAAACCAGCCACTTGGAACCACGTTGCAACAAACGCCCACTGCAGTCCGAGTTGGGTAAACTCTGGAAGAGCGGTCTGAATTTCAACAGCAGCTTTTTGCAAGATTTCGCTTTCCGTAGTTTGTCGATAGAAAACCTGGCCGATGCTTCTCGTATCGACATCTGCCCAAAACGGCGTGATCATTCGAAAGTCTTTCGACTGTGGCGTACAAGTGGGTGTATACTGCCCGATGGGACCCACGAAGGAGATGCCGCTGTTGTTGTTCAACCAGAACGAATCGTGTGAACGATCGAAGAGGTAGAACGGGAACTGAAGGGGGATTTCGGCAGTGCTGCAGTCGTCACATCGTGGGATCAGACGGTCTTCCGCTCCCTCTCCGAATGAAAAGAAGTGAGAAATCGGCACCTCGCAGTCGGACTCCTTCACCAAAGTCACCTGCACGAAGGCAGCGATCGTGATCGTCATTGTTTCACGTCAGTGCACACGAGGACGACAGGCGAAAGGAAATGACGATAGAATTTTTTGAACCGATATACGATCTCGGTTTCGAATATCGGGGGGACCATGCGGCCTGGGCGGGGCTGCACAACGCCCCTCGACTTCATGATGCCTGTGACTGCCCAAGGATTTCCGCCAAAAACAAAATAAAAACAAATATCACAGTCAATACTTGTCTTCTCGGAATAAATATCACGTTCTACGCCCGTCCAGGGCGGCGGACATAGCTGGAGCCAAGAAGATGCGAGATGGAGATCCGATTGACGCCGATTTGCATTTCTCATCCGCTTGTTCTGAACGTGCTTCTCTGCCGTGTCTTTGTACTCATCAAGTATTGTACTGAAATTAGTGAAGTAGAAATTTCATTCACCGGTTTGAGGCTATTAGCGGGAGGAGTGGGTTTGCTTACTCCATTATGACTGCGTTCCACTGGAAAATAATTATGCACCGTGACTTTTCCGGATGATGGCAATCAGGGACGTAGCCAGGAATTATTTTCAGGGGTGTCTTGTGAGGCTCATTCAAGCCCATGAGATGACGAAGTGGCCCCCCTCTCTCTCATACTCCTTGCTTCAGGAAATTTTGCTTCATTTCCGGGGGTGTCCAGACACCCAGGACACCCCCCTGGTTACGTCCCTGATGGCCACTCGGAATTTTTTTGGTGGGAGACGTTCCATGCTTCGATCACGTGCTTCTGCGTTCAGAATCGAACACAAAATGGTGACACCAGCACTCTTCCTCTGTGGCGATGCGCCATCATCTCACAAAGGAGTACATCGTTTGAATGAACTTGAAGGAGAGGGATTTCACGCTGCCCTTGTTCGAGAAAAGCAACAAGTGAAGGTCTTCCACTTCCAATCGTCGTTTTATCTGGCAGTCCAGGGCAGTAGTGATCCCAGGAAATTCTAATGGGGGAGGGGGGGGGGGGGTTTGCCATATGAAAAACTGATTACCCATCCTGTATTTGCGTCCAAATGAAGAAATTTTTGAGAATCGAACCAGAAAAATTGGCCCCCAAAACCCTACCCCCTTGGGCACGCCACTGGTCCGGTGATACTGTACCTGTCAGCCGATCCGCCCCAGGTGGCCCCCGATATTACCATCCTTGTAGCAGCACTGTTGCGTGGAATCTTTCGAAGAGGGCCGGGCGATGGGAATATCCTTCTCATAGAAGTCAATTTGCCGCTGATAGATGAGTCTCCGTATTTAACTAGTGATATACTGAAACTAGGAATGTATACATTTCATTGCGTTTTTGTGGCTAGAGTCTATTCACGTGCAGAGGATTTGCTTATTTCCTTCTGATTGCGTCCGACCAAAAAAAAAAAGAAATGATGCACTGTGACCTTTGCCACTCGCCCCCCCTCCCCCCCCAAAAAAATGTCTATAGTTGCCATCGCCTGGATGGCAACTATAGGAATTTCTTGTGAGGGACGTTCCATGCTCCCGCGTAAAAACTAGGATTCAAAATGGTCGCAAGAAGATTCGTCCCTTTTGATGATACAGTTCGAGATGTCATCGCTTTCATCTGGAGAGCATTGTAGACAAAGCAGGTAAGATTCTTTTATTCCTTTAACCCTATCATTTGCGCCGATTTTGCTATAACGCAGGAGTTCGCGCACAACCGTGTGAGAGGAACCAGACACACAATCACTTTTGTGGTGTGCTTTCAGAGATCTGCTCCTAGAGACCCCACTGCAATGATCTTCACGATGATGACATTTCATTGCTCTGGATATGGTCGATTTCGATCAAATTGTTACTCTTTTGAGAAAAGATTCTAAGCATCGCGCAAGTTTCGCGAAATCGGCGCCAGAATTTCCAGAGATTGATCAGTTAAAAATCACGGGTCTCCTTTGTAGATTGCCGACACCATCCGGCTCTGTTGCCTTTTCTTACCCGTCCGTCAGCTTTCGAGAAAACGTAAGTACAGAAATTAAAACTGTATTTGGTCGCGTACGTCTTGCAAAAGTAATGAAAGCAGATGTTAATTTTTCAGAAAAGTTCCCATTTTGGAGAATGGTTAAATAATTTCTGAAAACTGAAGCATAGCTTGAAAAAGGGGATTTCGGGACGAGGAAAAATAACCAAAATGATTTGCGATCGCAATTCGGGATTGACTGCCTAAAAATCAGTACATTTTGGAGAAAAAGTTTGTCATTTGTGTAGGTTGCATAGTAAGCTCATAAAGTCCTAAACTCCCTGACATAAAGACATGCCGTAGTTACAAGGCAACGCATTTTGAGCAGATTCTTTGGGAATGTAGAAGTGAAAAAAAGACTTAAAACACAGGACCTTCTGCGTTCTGGTCCGTCGTCGTCCCCCCCCCCACCGGCAAAGAAGCCAAAATAAGCTACAGGAGAGATTAATGCACTTGTAAATCCTTGTCAATAGAGAATTGGGCCTTACATTCTACTAGCGAGTTTGAGTTTGCCAGAAGGTGTTGCCTCTAGCACTCGACGAAAATAAAACGTGTAAAACTCCTGCTTTTGATGTCAAAAGGTGTCCTGGCTACATTGCTTTTGATATGGGGTGGGGCTCTCCACCAAGCCCCAAGTAAACCTGGGCATGTCATGGTTAGAAACATGGCATTGGAACTGAGAAGTACATGTAAGGCATTGGTGACAAGTCAAGATTGGAGATAATGTTCTGAACAGCATCTAGACACTGAGTAAATAATAAAATCTTAATGTTGCTTTTATTGAACATAATCAGTCCTGCAGGAATGAGATCACAGAGCAAGTATTTCCACGATAAAAATATACAGAAACAAAGCAATACAGCATCATGTGATAGTAACATAACAGAAGCAAGGAAGTAAAGGTGATTGCCTTTAGTGAGAAAAAAAACCTTGACAACTGAGGAAATGGGTTTTGGGTGAACAGGAATAACTTTTGCCTGAAGCTACTTTGAATGATGGCTGGAACCAGCATAAATGCAATTGAGAATTAGAAAATAACATTTATTTGATGCAATGTCATCAATGACAGATGACTAGATGAAAGTCGCCAAAAAGCCATGACAGGCCAATGAAGACAAAAAACCCTTCTCATCATGAAACTATGAAATCAAATTACTTCCTTGTGCATATTAAAAAATTCAAATGTGAAATTGTGATTATCTTTGTCCTGTCTATGGATGAAGCAATCCAATTTTCATTTACATGAAAGAATGATGCTCCACACAGACTTGTATTTTGTTGCTCCTTTGTCTTATTTAAATAGCTCCAAACTGAGTCAAGGAGGAAAACAGGACTTTCACAAAAGTTATTATGCGAGAGACTTTGAATTAAGTCAGGAGTACACCAATGAGTGAATTAACAATTTTTTTTAAATCAAACACCCATGAAAGAGTCTGCCCTAAATAGGGTTAACATTTTAGCAGCCCTCTTGACTACAGGGTCAAGTTGTTAAAGCTTCAAATTGCACTTTAAAAGGCCTGGGAACAAAATTCACTCATACCTGGTTCATTTATACTCATCAAGCTTTCCTTATTTAAAAGCTAGGAAGGCATTAACTAAAAACATTATATTCCTAAAATAATGAGCTTCAAGAAGTTTGACTTGGAATCCTTGAGGAGTGTTAAAGGAGTTGGTAAAAGTTTGATGCATATTTTCACGGCTCATTACCAGTAACTGCAAAAAAAGTTTTAGGAGGTTAATATAGTATCAAATGAAAAACCGAGCCTTAAAAATTGACCCTGACTTCAAAATCAGCTGAGGCTTGTCCAGTCAAAAAGGTTCATTGATAGCACAATGCATGAGATTCAGGAACACTTCATCCAGTGTATTTGGATGAGACAGGCAGATCTCTTTCTAGTAACTGTAGATTCCAAATACAGCTGCAACACAGAACAGGGAATCCTAAGGAGAGAAGAAAGGATGAAGAGCTCTTAGGTAAAGTACACAAGCTGACATTCCATTAATTTCCAGATTCATGCACACATCAGCCAACAACATTTAACTTGAGGATGGATACAGCTATCATGGAAAGTTATGGATCCCTAATTATAGGGATCCATTTTCTCCTCTTCTTTTTCCATCTAATATAGGAACCCAAAATCCAAGTCAGCAGTAACTTCCATGTCTAGAATTAGTCCAAGCCTTTGTCACAAAAGTTGAGGTTCACTTGAGGATGCACAAAGGAAGATATTCCTCAAGTCTTCCAGCTCACCCTCTCACTGAGAGTGGCCTGTTTCTTGGGTTTTTATATGCAAATGAATCTACTAATGGCAAACTAAGTACTGGTAAACTAGAAAGAAAGAAATTAGAATTGAAAGGATGAACTATGTAAGAAAACTTTTACTTTCTACTGCAAAATTAAGTTTCTTGCAATAATACAGGAAAGGGTGTAAGATAAAGTTTCATCCCATGAGAAGAATATATCCTTGGATGCTAAGGAATCAAAGTGAAAAAATTTTCAGCACTCTATATTCAGTGGTTTGGGTGTTACAGCACTAACAGACCCACAGACCTATAATGGAGTGTAATTTCCTGCAGTAGCCAATGCTTTTTTGACAGTTTGAACATTCATTCAGTAAGTCTTCAGCTTATCTCACTTTTGTTTGAACTAAAGGGGATAGAGGACTGAACAGCGATTTTCCATGGAAACATTGATTTAAAGATGAAAGAGCATTAAAGGTTCTATCCAAGAACTGAGTCATGCACTATTGTTTATAACAATAGTATTCAAGTAAAAGCATAACAATGCACATCAGAAAATGCAATCAAAATTGATTTCTCTACACTTGAGATATAGTTTTTGAATAAATATTTTCATGTCACAGTGGGATCGACAAGAAGGACATGATTTAACTCAGGTACAACTGTTCCGCTTCTCAATGGGTTAAAAAGGATGAGAAGAGAATAAACTATTTCTGCATCTGACTTGAATAAATTATTGGATTTGGAGATATTGCATTTATTATTAGCTTTGATTTTCCCAAGAACATATTTGCACCATTTGCAAAGAAAAAATGTGATAGAAATGACTGTGCACATTGCCAGTGATGCACTGAAGCCTCTTGCCAGATGAGGAAAAAATTGATATTCTGAGGTAGAGACCAACCAAACATTTAATACCCATGATGAACCTGTCCTGCGTGCAAGTTCACTTAATCACAGGATTGAATGAATCAGGTCCATTTAATTCTGGAACAAAGCTAATACAAAATTCTTTGGCAAGCCATGAAAGAAAGTCTGTACAGCAATAATTAAATTTTTTTGCAGAGTGGCTCCAAGATGTGCAACACAAGAGGGAGATGAGCTATTAATTAGGCTTAGTAGGAGCATATGAAGCCACTCACATTCAAAAATATATCAGATGCATAGTTGTCAGTATCAATGTCCCACAGGCATCTGCTCCCAACCTGAACACCAGCACCCCTCTGCTCTCCAATCAAGACATTCACGCAGAACTTATAGCGCTCATACCCCAATTCTGTAACAAATTTTTTTCATTCCACACAGTTCACATCAGTATGCAAAATGTGACCAGACCTCCACTCCCACAATGAATATTAAATATTTGTTTCATCGCAAAAGTAAAAGTGTTTTCACGCTGTTTCAAATATCAGTAGTGAAATATTTTAATCAGACAGAAGAACAATGTCTGTTACATTTATTCATCAAACATTCAGTTCACATAATTAAGATTTTGTACTACTGAAGCTGGTTTACTTTTTTACTTTTCAAGTTATGAAGTTCAAAGTGATAGCATGGCACTACTTAACCTAAGAATGCAGGATCACAATGATAAAAGAAAGGGTAAGTACATCACAAAGAACAATGGGGATATATTTGTATCATATAACAGAGGGGACCCAAAGATCATTCGGGAAGCTGACGCCGATATATCAAGGGATCATGTCCGGTACAAATTGTTTCAAGGCAAAAACTGAAAAAATATTTTTTTGTTATGGCTTGATTTCATACCTTTAACTTTGGAAGTAATGGACTCTGCAACAGACTTGCACAAACTAGGGACCTCTTTGTCACTGAAAACCTTTCCTTCTAGTTCCTCTATCAGAACACCATGAATGACATCTTTCACCATGGAAGGGCGGAATCTGCATGAGAAAATAATTGTTCAATTGGCAAAAGTGTTTGAATTTCCTTCACCACGCCTAAAATGAACAACATGAAGAAAATTATATGAAGAAGTCATGAAGTTCTTCTTTCTTTATCAGAAAATGAGAAGTTTCTTTGTGATTATCACAAGGTATACCTTCAGAGGCAGAAATAACTTTTTGAAATAAGTTTAAGACTTGATAAAGGAGACTTCCATACAGGTTGAATATGACAGCAACAACTACAGGGGCATTATGTAATTGGACATAAATATGAAATAGCAGGCAACCTAATACAGCACCATGGCTACATGGAGTAACAAATTTGAACTCCTGTTACAACAAAGCTGTATCCATTTGGTGCATCTTTTCTGAGTTACCATGTAAATGTTATTCTCAGGCTTGTGTGCCAAAATACTTAAATTATTTGTTACTATTCACATGGAAAAGTTACAGAGTAACTGAGCATTTCACCTACACACTGCCTCCCCCTCACCAGGGAATGTATACCATACATATTCACCCATAAGGAAGAAAAAGGCTGATTTGGTATAATAGCATATTATTACATTATTTAAAGAAAAACAGAAGAAAGAGAGCTTACTTTGTTTCAAAGGTAGGACGGATTTGGTAACTGGAAACTTGATCATCCATTGAGCTCATCATGAGCTTGGATGTTCCTGGATCTAAAGCATCTGATTATTTGATATCTGATTAGCTACTAAATTGGTGTTTGAACCTAGTAAAAGAGAAACTGCACATTGCCAACCAAATATGGTAAATTATAGCTGTCACAAAGGTAAAAGATCAACAGTCTAGGCCAAGGCTATTTGTCACATCCTTGAAGATGAGGAGGTTAGGACATGCACCCAATGTAAAAGTAGTCCCAGTTAGTCTTGCATAATGGCTTCCAAACATTTATGCAACCAAATCAAATCATCAGACTAAGACCTCAACACCTTTACCATGAATAATCACTATAGAGAAATTAATACAATTGAGCAAGAACATGTGCCACTGTAAAGCAGTACATAGTCTATACCTATAGATTTTTAAAATAGTAGCTGCAATTTTTTATCACCATGTGTACCTCTATGAAATCCAGAGTACCAGTAGTGAGTACAAACCATTGACTGAAAATGCTGGGTAGTATGATACAAGGGGAGGTGCAGGTATTGTCTTCCTTCTGACAAACGGATCCGCAGGTGGGAAATATGTGTATTGAGGCAGGGAGACGAGAAATGAATAAAAGCAAATAGGCCTTTATTTACACAAAGGTGTAAATAAAGGTCTGTCCTGTCTCACTCTCTCTCAATCTCACTAACTTTGCACTTTCCCTTGCATATGCATGAAGTTCCTTAGCCAGTGTGCCTGCTTCAAAATCATATTGCTATGTCCTTGCCAAGCAGATTTTTAAATAAGACAAGACGAACTACTGCATACATGTTCAGAGGGAGGAAAGTAACCTTGGTATCTGACAAAAAAAAGGTACTGGTATAAACCTTTAGTCATCCTTAGTTTTAACATGTAGTAAAACAGTAAAAGATCATGAATTGATGCCATATGGCAAAGAACAGACCATGAGATGCAATCTAACATCAAGTGTCTCTGATGTTGCATCATCTTGTCTCTCCATCTCTAACTTAACAAATGCACAAATTCACTGTTCACACTGTCATCTGAAGGTAGCAGATGAGATTACAACTGACACTGATGGAAGAAAGCACCATATGCCCTGTAGTTCACTATCCAGCACCTATTCATGTTCCTTTTGCATTACCTTAGGTCCTTGACCAAACATAAAAAATTAGGCCTATAACAGCACCAGCACACAAGCACTTTGCAAGCTTTATCAATAGCCATCCATCCATTCATTCGAGGAAAATATTAAAAATATGGGATGGAGTTCTCCCCTGAATGGACAACTTAGAATACGTGGTCACACAGTCACTGGCATTTGTAGTAAGTCTGAGTCGGCAGATTTGGCCCAAGTTGCCGGTGACTGGAACAGGCCTAAGCCCACTTCCATGCCTATTACAAATCTAGGTCAATTCATACGCAGCCAGGAAATGCTCTAAGTTTAGGTCAAAGCCAAGGGAAACCTGTTAGATCGTTATTTAAGGCCTAGAGAGGCTGCAAGACGGGCAGGGAGGGTAGGACGGGAAAATCAATAGAACCAACTCCAGTAGTGCAACGCCCCACGAAGGACCACTCTATTCTCCAACACTAGCCAACACAAATCCTTCTGCTATGCTAGGTTAACGTCGCAGAATTTGTCAAGCCGATTTATTCCAATACAATGTAAAGTCTGAATGCCTAGGCCCCCTTCAGCAAGTCTAATTACACTTGACAGTCTCCCTCCTGATCGTTTAACGTGCACGTGGATTGCGGAGTTGTGGATCAGGGTTGCCAACAACAAGGCTCATCCTTTCCAAACTCATCCTTCTCTGCCCTCCCCAGGCTTTGCTACTTTTGTAATACTCAAGAAATTATGATGCCCGAGGAGAGCTAGTGTGCATTAAGAGAAATTCAAAAGCATGCCCTAATTTATTCGTAATAACGAAGATGCAATACGATGGGCTGTCAGGCCCACTGAGCTAAGGTCAGGCCCAAAAGGCCTTCGTGCTCCTGGATGCACCTTCGCCATGGGGCTGAGACTCAAGAGAGACTCCCGTCCGAGACAAAAGTAACCTCTAACCTAGGAAGAAGTAAGAGAGCTAAAATCATTACCAGGTTTTTTTTTCCTGTCTTCCCGAGCGTGTGCTGAGAGTAACCCACCCCACCAATATGATGAAACTAGAGGAAACTTTCACACGGGTTAGGGGAAACCTGGATTGGATTGATACAAAATCTCATCGATTCAACGCCAAACAAAGTAAATTTTACTCATGAGGCAAATGTGGCCAGACCAAGTACTAAAATAAAGATTCGCACTTTATTGCTTGCCTTGTGGCGCAACTACCAATAATGTCTGGGGGGGAGGGGGGGTTCGGTTAAGTTCTCATGGCCTGTCTTTCAAACGTCTCTGAATGCCATGAAGGCATTATCAAATCGTCTGTAGAAATACCTTGTATACTCAACAAAAACGCGAAACTGCGCATGCAAGCAAATAAAAATGTCAGGAAATGGTGGAAACGTAATTTAAAATCTAAATGAAACGCATTCGACATCTAGAAGAAAGCTTAACATAAACTAAATTAATTTCGGGATGCAGCCCAAATTTCACTGCGCAGATATGCCACTGGAAATTTGTTAACCGGTGCGTGATTCACGCCTTTTATCAGACTTGTCGTCCTTTCGTTTTCAGAAAAAATTAATTTAGGGGTTTAGATCGACTGTTGACACCTACCACTAGCATAACGATAAAAAGCCTTAGGGCCGATTGCATGAACGATGTTTATTTTAGACATTGACTATCGATAGTAATTGTTTAAACATTGTCTACGAAAACATCGGTTAACCGCTGTCTACTTTCAATTGCGTGAACGATCCCTAAGCCAT